TGCGAAATATAATTTATGTATTATATTGTTAGGGTTAAAAGGTTTCTTGTTGTAATAGTGGTTAAGTTGGTTATTTTGTATCGTATTTTAGGTGGTGACGAAGAGATTGGAAAAGCCTACCGACCATCCTAGGCTATAGCTTGACTTGTGAGTGGATAAAAATTTATTTTTCAGAAATTAGTATCTATTAAATTTATATTAGATCAGAAAATTTATTATTTCATACATTTGGTTTGACATCATGATTTTCAGAAAAAAAAATGATTTTAAATTCAGTTTAGCTAAATAATTTCATTAGCACTCAATATATCTAAAGTTATTTTTAAAACTACCAGAAAGTACTCAGGTGATTTTACCATAATCTTCACTTGTGTGAATGTGTTTTTATAGTGTATGACTCCATATGATTATTTTACCCACTCTGTACTGGTGTGAATGTGTTTCCACGGTGTTTGATCAGTTATGGTGATTTTATCCGCTCTGCACTATTGTGAATGTGTTTTCATAGTGTATGACTAGATTATAGCCTTCGGGTAGCTCTACATGCGTATGACTAGAATTTAAGAATTTCATAATCGAATAACTTTGCCATGTACATCGGTACTAACTGATACTTAATTAAGGTTATTGTGGTACCCTTTTGGTGTGATTTTCAGTAATTTGCAGTTCATCAGTTTTCAAATTATAGAATTTAGTCATTTTCGTTTAAAAAATAAAGGTTTTAGCTTATAGTACTGTAAAAAAAAAATATTTATTATATACCAGTTTTCAGAAAGTTGTATATGGAAAAAATATACTTACGAATTATCTACTCACTGAGTTATAGGCTCATATATTTTTAGGATAAAGATATTTGTACAAGATTTTATTAACAAACTGGTGTACTCACTCTCATAAAATTAACAAACCCCACATGAATTTAAAAAATATCGATTTTCAGTCCCCACCCCCATTGTGAGTAGTGAGTAAGGGAGTTTGTAAAAAAAGTTTGTATATATAGCATGATCCATATTTTTATCACCATTTCTCTTATAAGATAATAGTTGAGTTGATTGGAGCCCATTAACCTATCGAGTTGAGCCATGTATTGTCAAGTGTAGTATGATTCATCCCTATCATTTTATATAGTTCATATTTTGGGATAGGCACATCTTTTGGTTAGAAATTAGTTCAATGTCTTTGGCCTACTTTGTTTTGTATATATTATGTATTAGGGTACTTTTGTTTGTAAATTATTGCAAAGGTCGAATTGCTAGTGTAGTATTTTGAATAATTAGCATTTCGAGTGGCCGGTGTACCCTATTTTAAAATACATGTACATGTTGGAGATATTTGATTATATTCTCAAGTGTTTTTAATCTATATTTTAGAGGAAACTCTATCAAAATTTTTATAAAGTATGTCGCAATCAAAGCAGGTCAAAATTACCTTGATGGTAGGTTCGGCACTTAGCTGGTATTTACCATCGGTGCACGACACATGTCAAGTCCATTAGAGTGATTCGAAACGGGTTGTATCACTTAAGTTGTCATTTTTATGCGATGACATGACGAGGTGGAGTTTTAAACCACTAAACCAATATGCATTTTTACTGTAATTGTTTATTGTCTTTCTTGGGCATTGCACTGCTCGAATTAGAGGGAACCTTAATCACATCAAGTATTGAAACAAGAACCGTGCTACATGTACAGGCTCCTAACAAACAGCACATATGGCGTGCCCCAAAGTAATTTTTTTTTTTTAACATGTGGGGCCGCCCTACAATGATAGGTCGGTAGGACCCCCGTAGGAAAATGCCACACCTTGAAACAAAGTTGTTTCAGCTTATTTTGTTGTTCAGAGTACTGAAAAAAAACGAAAAAAATGTGAGAAGTAATATTGAACTACGGGATTTTATTGTTATGTTGACAACTGGGAAAGGGAAGAGTCTCTCCTGTATTTGAACTGTTGTCCACTTTGTTTTTATTGTAATACACCTTTCTACATACTATTAATGTAGGAGCCACACCTCTGCAGGTTCGTCAAAATCACATTGGTCTGTACAAAAGAGCATCATCGTTCAACGTATGATGTGCGGTGAAATTAAGTAGAAACATCTTAAAGACTTGGGGTACCGTTTCAAAAGATCAATGTTGTTAAAAAAAAGTAACTCAAGTCATTAAATGTCAGTTGGATCCCTAACATACCCTTATGATGGTGGCTCATTTGATAACACCAATTTAGAAATCTGTTTGCTTGTTTAAGGCCTTATTTGATCAACATTCTTTCAAAAAGTATATTTTTAAATAATGATTTGACATCATTTCAACTACACATTTTTTAATAAAAAAATATTACATTTAAATTCATTTTTACTTATGTTTTTTAACCACACATTTCCTATCAAGGCGCTATTCAAAACTATATTATTATGAAAATAATATGACTCAAGCAAAGGCTTAATCATAGTTGGATCAAGTTGATCAAGTTTGATGGTCTCTAATATATTATTAGCCCCAAGATGATGGCTTGTTTTTTGTATTTTAGCTAAAATATGTTAATCCTTTACTCTTATTATAGTATAATTGATAAAAATAATGTTATTTGCAGTGAAAACTATCGGTAGTCGCCTTATGTGACCTAAAATTTGGCAGTTTTTCATTTGATGTATAATTCAAAAAATAACTACCATATGTATGTATCAAATATCAAATTGTCAAGTGTATGCCATATATGAGGACTATTGACAGTCTTCACTACGAATAGCATTATTCAATTGATAATTAAAAATTTTGTGCGTATCAAAGTAGTTTCGTGAACACAATACTATTATAGCTTAAGATTGGATATTCTATTGAAATGCACAAGATAATAAATTAATATTACGTTCAATTTCCCAATTTATATTATAAATTACTTATCTAATCAACATATCTTGATCTTAGACAAATGATAAATATTAATTAATTATTGATTAGGTTATCGGTTTCTATGTTTTATTATCGTATGGATAAATAACTACCTCGTACTATTTTTCAGGGACCTCTCTGATTTTGATATTGGGTCCAAATATTTTATCCGAAAAATTAAATGTATTTAATTTAGAGTCGAATATGGTCACCTTCATTGATTGTGATTTCAACTTAAAAAATTTATAATATATATATATATATATATATTCTAGAACCACGATGATTGGGTTGGATTTTATTTCGCGTAAACTTGTAGATTGAATTTTGTTTAGCGTAAACTTGTCGAGCAATTTTTAAATTATGTTTTGTCATGTGTATGGGGTTTAAGAATCATGCATATAAAGACCATAAAGATATTTATAACTGATAAAAGGAGATCGTGTGGTTGGTTTGAACATGTTTGAACACCCGATATAACTATTGAACTAGATTTTAACTGAATTGATCAAGGATTATATAATCTCAATTAGAAGACCCTTCTTGCTTTAGTTTTGAATAAGTTCACTAGCATGTCCTTTCTTCAGCTAGATTCATCCTATTATTCATCTCTTTTTCTTAAATGGGTATTTAGGGATTTCTCGTAGATCTTGAAACCAAATCAATATAAGAAAAAATTAGATTCTATAAGGATCTTTCTTCATATCTAAATATGGAAAAATCAAGTAATAAACACTTACGTGCATAACAGAATTAAGGTTATCTCCTTATCCTCGACATTGAGAACATTCTGTATGTCAAGATCTTTGTATATCGTTATATCAATATAAAAGGTCTGAAAAATGCAATGATACATGTGTGAATGCAGAAATCTCAAAATCATTAAGTTGGGTCTTCTTATTTAATAAAATTTATACAAGATTTAGTAATTTACAATGACAACTAAAAAGAATTTCATTATTTGTTATTTTTCCAATAATTATAAATCTCTAGTTTTACAATCTGTATTTTTATGAAAATTGTAACTATTTTAGTTGACCAGGTACAAAAGTTTAAAGAAATTATATTTCATATTTTTCCTAATTGTCAAATGACTAATGTTTGTGCACAAGAAAAATAATAAGTTTATAGAATAGATAGCAAAACACTGTTCAAAATCAGTTTTGAAGTAAAAGTAAACAAAAATCTATTAATTTGTTTTTATTGAAAATTATATTTATAATATTAGTATTGTGTCACTAGACTATTGTGTGGTTGCTTACTCTGAAATTTTGCAAACCTTCTGATTCCTCGAAAGGGCGCTATAATGGGGCTTCACATTTTCATGAATTAATCTACTTATACATTAATAGTTGACAATGTTTCATGTGGTAAAATCTGGACAATTGATTTAAAAATTGTTTTTAAATTTTTTTTTTTTTTTTTTTTTTTTTTAAATGAGTGAAAGTCTTTGGTGTAATTGCCACGCGTCCTTCCCATGCTTTGTGACTAAGCTTGGAAGCGGTTTAGTTTAGGTCGATTTCAACTCCAATTCAAAACTAAAATCAAATTAGTCAATTTGGACGAATTTCAACTCAAATGAACCCATTCTACCTATTGAATTAAACCAAACCAAATCGATTTGGAATTTTAGACCAAATTAAATTTTTTTTTAAAAGTTCTAATTTTTGGTCCACTTGAATTACAAAAACTAAAATAATCAAATAATTTTATATTACTATAGCTATTGACTAAAAAATAATGAGCTTGTGAAAGGAAATTCCTAGTGTCGTTACTTACCGACAATATCATAGATTGAGGGAATCGAGATATAATTATGAGATAGAGTTAATCTTTCGATTTTTATTTTTCTTAAATTTTAAAAAAAAATGAAGAAGAAAGACAAATATGTAAGCAGGTTAGATTGATTCGGTTAACTAATGATTTGATACTTCAAACCATGATTGAACCAATTCACCATGATTTTGTTTAAAAGAAAACTAAATCAAACCAATTATCTTTGTCAAATCGATTCAAGTCGATTCGATTTGATTGGCTTAATCGATTTTTAGATTTTTTTTGTCCAAACTTATTTGTGACAACGACAATCCTTATGTGGGCCATTAAGGATCAATGATAATTTCATTTTGCAGTAATGGCTCCAAAATTGGAGTGGATGAGGACTCAATTTGCAACAAAATGATGGCAGGTAGGTCACTTGTCACAAACTTTACTAATAAAGCAACATTTAGTGGGCCTTTTATATGGACCACATGTACTGTGAACCCCCTCTCCCCTCCACAAAAAATCTAGAAGTGGCATTCTCGTAATAATCTTGAAACATATAGGATATTCGATATTTAGATATCATAAAGGAATATACTCCCGCAGGTCCCAATCCGCCTGTAACGTACGGAATTTCAACGATGGTAGTATCGTAGTAAAATAAGACTCCTAGTACTCAACAAATTAGGAAATTAATTTTTGGATAACGGCGGATAACGGCGTTCACTACTCTATTATTATTATTATTATTATTATTATTTTATTTTATTTTTGCTTGTGCAATTTTATACTTCAAAGTTGAAATTTCCTAGCACCTTTTGGACAATTTATACAATAATTTAAATGACGAAAATGTACACAATTAATCGGAGTGATATCGTGTTCTTTAATTCACTTTTACATAATTTAGACCATTTTTTTAACAATTTTAAATTATAAAATATAAATATAAGAGTTAAGTATACTATGGGTGTCAATTGTTATGGTAGAACACACTATGCACATGCAGAAAATTGCTTTTATGTGTTGTAAATGATGAACAACGGAAATAATAGGTATAATATATCTACTTAATTTCATATTCTTAGAGCAATAACCCACTATTTCTGTTTTTAACTATATCAATAGGTTCAGAGTTTTTACGATGATTATCTTTTTTGAAAAGCAAATCGAATAAAAGTATTGGTATTCTTGACATATCCATGAATGACCTACAATATGACGAGGCGAATGTGGAGGCCTCCAATTAACACTCTATCGAGTCAATGCGACCAAATAATGAGTCAATTAACGTTCCATTATCACCTAAAAATTTAGATAAGATCATAAAATGTTTCACTTTCGACAATCCTTCAATACACAATCATTTATGTGACACGTTCAAAAGGAAGTTAGACGTACGCAGGAGGAATTTCTCGACCTTATTTTCAACTTGAAGATTCCATTCGGCTATCCGCAAAACCGTTAAGCATGAATTAGTAGGTATTAAATAAGCCCTACTTTGGTTTAGATAATCATAAGATTTTTTATAAACTTGATGAAATGTATGGTTAAAATTAATTATTTGTTTTGCTTTAAATTTTAAATCAAAATTTCTAGTTAACCAAACAAGGAATATGCCCCATTGTTTACAAATTACAATGATTAATGTCATTTTACCTAAAACAAACCCACACGCTAACAACATCAAACTCCTGATGTTAACGCCGTCTTCTTCCGTTAAGAGTTTTCCACTGTATATGGCAATGCCGTTAGCAGAATATTCGTTTAACAAATCCAACTACCCGTCTATATGCATACCCCACATCCACAACGGTACATACTGCGTATTTCCAGAGAGAGAAACTGATGACTGAGGCACTCAGGAAAGCTTACACAGTGAAGGAAGAGATCGGGAGGGGGAAGTACGGCGTCGTATTCAGGTGTCATTCCGCCATCACCGGCGACTGCTTCGCCGTGAAGTCCATCGACAAGCGCCTCGTCCAAAACGATGCCGTTGACAGGCAGTGCCTTTACAATGAAGCCAAGATCATGCAGCTGGTTTCGAGCAATAATCATCCGAATGTGTTGAAAATTTTCGATATTTACGAAGATGATAGCTTTCTTCACATTATACTCGAGTATTGTCAGTCATCGGATCTTTTTGATCGGATAAATGCCCGACCCATATTCACCGAATCCGAGGCTCTCGATGTCATGGTGAGTTTTTTACGTTTTTCCCCTTTTTTAGATATATTCATTAAAGAGAAAATTTCGTTGTTTTCGAGTAAAATTAATTTCCATGCAATTTTCAGATGTTCTCATTAATAGATAATAAGTTAAATTATTGATGAGGTAATGTTTTGTTGTATTTGTAAATTATTTTGTAATAATGAACTGAAAAGATTCTGAAAATTTATCTGTTTCTAGGGCATCATAGAATGATCGTATCGTTATTTTTTCTCGCAAGAAATATTCAAATATTCTTTTCCTGTTACTTCATTGGACGTACTCGCACTTTTTAATAATTTGTTTGGACTTAGTCGCACTTTTTTAAAAAGTTTGGAGGTATGATTGTAATTTATTATTTAATTTTTTTTTCTTTTTCTATTTAAATAAGAGGTTATATTTGTCATTTATATATGAAATTGAATGAAAATGAGGATTTCCGCAATGAAAGGGTAAAAGATAAACGTCTTCTCTATGGATTCGAGACTCTTAGGACTATTATCTTCACAGTTTGTAACTCCA